GATGTTACACTTATCAAGAGCTTTCATTTGAGTACCCACATGCATTTTTATATATTTTTCATATATACATATATATAAATATAAAAAAATATATAAAAATATATGAAAAATTGATGTGGGTATTCAAATGAAAGGTCTTGATGAGTGTAACATCAGGATGAGTTTATATCTTTAAAAATGTCAATATTTCACAAGATATTTGTTAAAATGCCCTGTACTTTCTTAAACATTCACGTTTTTAAAGATATAAGCTCATCCGGATGTTACACTCATCAAAAGCTTTTATTTGAGTACCCACATGCATTTTTGATATATATTTCATATATACATATAAATAATATATATAAATATATGAAAAATTGATGTGGGTACTCAAATGAAAGGTCTCGATGAGTGTAACATAGGGATGAGTTTATATCTTTAAAAATGTCAATATTCCACAAGATAAAAGATAATTTCTTAATTATGTATCTAGAGATGAAAATTTGGTTCAATGTTCCAAAGTCTAATTTCTTAAAAAATATTATTAATATTTTCAAAGTCAAACCTGAAATAAATTAATTGAAGTATTTGTAACTAAATTTGCATTTCAAACTTGTTTTAATCAAATAAAAATCTATTGCTCTGCAAATTTGTATTAAATAAAAAATTTCCAGCAATAGCTTTTATTAAACCTCCACATAATCCAACTAATAGGAAGTGAACAGTGATTATCAAGCATAATCATAATTCAGCTTGCGTCGAGGATTGGAAACCTGGAGAAACGGTGACCTAATCTCAAGCATCGCGATTAAAATAACCAATTTATCAAACTAGAGTCTTTTCGCGAGAGAGTTGTGTTCCGTAATAAAAAAAAAAAAAATAAACAAGGACTGATAACCCGCGTATGCAATTTCAATCCACGTTCAGTCCAGCGGATAGGAGGAGTGTTCAAGTATTGACACAGATTGATCGCTATGCATGATCTGTAACCAGTAGATTGGGTTAGCCTTTTTGAGTTCACGAGGTCGGAATAAAATTATTTTATTAGCATTATCACTGCTTTTAGATTTTTGCGTACGTGCTTCGTGTGGCAATCCACCCGTTTTCGTACAAAGGAAAAGTGTTATCCAATTAGGAAGATTTCTTCACTCTCTATTATTCGCCCCCGATATAATGATCTGGTGACGAAACCCGTCATAAAAAAGGGACGTGCAATTTATCAACTCCCTCATTAAAAGATCCTTTTTCGCAGAAAAGACCACTGATTTGTTTCCTTTTAGAAAACTCGCTCGACTTTCTGACCACTGATCGCTAATTCGGTTTATGTTATCCTAATTGGCCGAAAAGATCACATAAAAAAGGGTAAAATTATTTTTCTTAATTCAAGAAATTTTTCAGTGATTTATATTAAGAGAGAAAGAACGAATGAAAGAGACAATAAAATAAAAAAAATAAAATAGAGAATAATAAATTAAATAAATTCTTCACACAATTCAAAACAGAAATACGTTTATTGAATTTAATTTTGTATTTAAATTTTATTAATATTCATTTTAATTATTATATACTTGTGATATATTATTTTGCACGATTCATGATGCGAAGCATCAAAGAGTTCTACGATCTAAAAATTTTATTTTATTATTTTATAATTAAATGAGCATTATGAGTCGTGGACTTTTGAATTTTTCAAATTCAAGAAATTTTTTTGGATTAATAGGATTTAAAAAGTCGAATTAAGAAAATAACTTTTGATTGGAGAATTTATTTTTAAATTAAGCCAACATTTTTATTGAAGCGTTAAGGACTTGGAAATTTAAGAAATTATTCTCTAAGCTTGAGAAGTAAATACTTGACTCAACAACATCAATGTTCGAGACTTGAGAATATTTATTTTTTGAGAAACTTGAAATAATATAAAATACGCCCGAGACCGGACTCGAACCCTGATCGGACCAAGCACGAAAGAAAGAGTGCTACCACTTAGCAATCACAGCGTAAACGAACTCACGCTCTATCTGTTGATATATTAGTAATGTGTCATTTTTTACGCATCTTGAGGCGGCGCTGCTGTCGGATTGTCTAAAGCCAAGAACATCTTCGAGAGTTTAATTATTTTGTTTTGGAGTTAGTTAAATATAGCTCTTGTGTAAGAGAGGTTTTATTTCTTAGTCCGAAATATTTTATGTTTAAATGGAAAATTAAAAATATTTATTGAAAAATAATAAAGCTTTACTGAATTATTTGAAACTTTTGAATCAAAATCTTCAATATCGAATTTTCTTAAATCAAGATTTTCTTCCTCAAAATGTTCTCTAAGAATATTGTTCTTAACCCAATATATCTTTTTTTTGTATAAAAATTTTTTTAAATACAATATTTTGTTGCTTAATAGCTAATTAGTTCTTCAATAAAATATTTTACTGATAAAAGAAAATTCTACGCTTATATATACTCTGGTAAAATTTTTCTAATAGCGAGAGGGCATAGCCACCTAGCGGCAAAACCAAAAACTAACTTCTAATAAAAACTCCTAATTAATTAAATATCTTCCAGATCAAGAGGATACAAAAACTTCATAATAAAAATTCTTATACCATTGAAATATAATTAAACTTTTAATTATTTGAAACTTTTTATTTAAAATCTTCAATATAAAATTTTCTTTAATTAAAATGTATATTTAGAATTGGGATTTCGGCTTAACGATAAGAGATACGCTTTGATAAGAACCTTTTAAATTTTGACAAAAATATTTTTCTATCTTTTCTTACTTACCAAAACAGGAAGATGATCGAAAACATAGCAGACGAACAATATGCTAAAGACAGTACACTTGCTTCCACTCTCATCTACCCTGGGCTTCCTCTTCCTCAAGCAAGCTCTAGAATTAGTAGACCCACTGGTAAAAGACCCATTAGAAGGATCCCAATGATGCTGATGATCAAACCCAGAATTCTTGGAGCTAGTGTCTGAGAGGTCAGAAACCGACTGCAGAAGCTCAGACTTAGGGGACTGACAAGCGTCCTTGAATATCGTGATGCACAGACCGCATATTGTGCCGAACAGCAGAAGGATCTTCAGTGCATTAACGAAGAGCCCGTACTTGACTGAAACCTCTTGAGCCAGAAACACGCAAGTTTCTGACTCAAAGTTGAGGATCCCGGTGAATCCGATGCAAGCGCTGATCACGGTCAGTGAGACCAAGTGGTACTTGAGGTGGTTCTTCGTCAGGCTCGAGTCTTCCTTGGTGAAAATCGCCGCGAAAATCGCGATTGATGTTAGAGTCAGTTGCTGCAATATGCTGGAGGAATTCAGCAGCCAGACTAATGATGAGCATATTTCTGTAACACGTTGATTAGGTTATTAGATTTGATTTGGTTTTGCTTGAACTTATCAGAAAATTTTAGAAGAAGAAATTCTTACCTCCAAAGTGATTAACTGGACGTATAAGTGTTAGTATGGCATAAAGTAGTAGCCCCAATTGATGTGCCAAACTCTGTGTGATAATGGCAACTGTGAGGACATCGATCCTGCGCTTCAAGGACGACGGCTGGTTTTGGTAGATCAGCAGTGACCAGGATAACAACAGTATGCAAATTGGAGAACCGACACAAGTTGCTAACCATTCGCCCACCTCGCTACGCATTTCTGTAATACAAAATAGTTTTTAACTCCCCGCTAAGAAAATCAAAGATTTTTAACTTCCTGCTAAGAAAATCAAAGATTTTTGAAAATTGGAAAATTATTGGTTTTACCCCGTTTTACAAAAATCAAGTTTTCATCAGATCGCGACGTTTTAAGGTCACAGGAAGCTTCTCTGACTATTCCTGCGATGTTGTTACTATATCTGTATGTATGTATGTGTGTGTGAAAGTATGTGAATTGCTTATAATTTTTGAACGTCTTAACCGATTTCATTGCGGTTGGTGTCATTCGAAAGGGCTTGGCCAAACTTAGATTTTAAATACAATTAGGGCGGATTCGGACCAGTAGATTTTGAGAAATTTCAAAAAAACTCTTAACTTTTAAACGGCTTTACCACTTAGTTGCAAAAACTAAACAAATTAAATCCAACTAAACCAAAACTAAACCCGGTCAAAATTGGTTGATTCGTTTGTGAGTTATCGTTAACGAAAGAAAATCGAAAAAAAAGTGTTTTTTCGAAATTACTCCGAAATTCCTATTTTGATCAATTCAAACTTAAAGATTCTGCATGAGGCTGAAAAAACTGCGTTGAATGCCGCCAACCACGTGAAAAACGGTGGATTCATTCAAAAGTTATTGCGGTTTGAAAATTAAAAAAATAGTGTTGCATTAATTCTTACCAGATTTTTGAGCTCGGAGAGCTCAAATTGGTACAAAGATTATATTTTTGAGCTCCAAGAGCTCAAAAACTTAGTAAGTGCAATTTTTAGCGCTTAAGAATGAAATGAGCCGGAAGTTGCAGAGATGGTCTTTAGAATCAACCATTTTCTTAAGTTTTTTTTTATGATAGACGCAGAATTTTAGAAAAATTTTTTTGAAGACATCTTCAATGGAATTTTTAGTATATGTTTAGTAAATTTTCCTGGAGAATGTACTTTGATGTTAGTCACGACAGGTTTGTGGATAAAAGTAGAAGGGTGATGTTGTGGCAGAGTTAATATACCAATAAATGTCATAAGAGACATTTAAATGTTTCTCATCGTGTTTCTGGCTTGTATTATATTTTTATACCTTGATGCAACTCTGGCTTTTCGCTATTAGTTGAGCAACTTTCTAGTCGGCATGTAAACTGCTGTTTAAATTTCATTTTTTAACTCATAATTTTCGCATAGAAAGCCGTATAATTTCGTTGAAAATCTACGAAAACTCTTTTAAAAGCCGTGAGAACATTAAAAATATCACTAATTATTCATTAAAAAAATTTCTTTTAGGTGACCATCTTACCCCGGGTCGTCAGAATTGCATGCGCGTTTGTAGAGACTTAAAGGAAACTACAAGAATATAAGTTATCTAAACAGTGTCAAAATCGGATGAGTAGTTTCCGAGATTTCGGCGTTACAAAAATCGCTTAAAGGTCCGAGGGCGCGGGTTCGAATCCCGGACAAGGCATTTTAAAAAAATTTTTAAAGTTTTTAATTTATATCATTGTTAAATAAGTAAAAAGTTATTTATAAACAACGATGATAATAGCATGAGCATCTTTCCCACAATTTTGAAATTTTAAAGACTGACTTTCTCGCAAGGTAATCACGCACAGCATTCCTCATTTTCTGTGGGACTCAAGCGGTTCTCCTCGAGATTTGAGTTCCGTTTTAAACAATTGGAATTACGTGTCTAAGCATTACATGCTAGATAAAATGATTATCATTTAAAAACCGGTTTATTTTTGAGTCATTCTAAGTTTTTTTACAAGAAACGTAAACATAAACAATGACTCGATATTTTGAAAGGTTGTCCTTAGATATTAACTAGTTATACACATTAGACTGCGTTGTATTACTTTGTAGCGTTTACAAGTTGTGCAACTTTCAATCCCGCTCAACCGTGAGCGAGAAATTTTCTGACCTTGTATGCGTACGATAATTAAATCACTAATTTATCTTACTCCTGTGAAAACAAAGACATCTGGGCCATCAAAAGTAACATCATCTTTTCTCACTCAATATCGATCAACTTTCTCTACTATTTTCTAAATTTCGCAGTTTTTCGTTACTTTCTCCTAAAAATAAACAAACTGTTTTATTTTTAACCCGAAATATAGCTTTAAAACAATTTAACCGCTTTTTGGGGTGTGAAAAAACCTATTAACACCTAAAATCTTGAAAAACTCGTTAAAGGAACCCTCAATAAACCCGAATATCGAATTTATTTTTCAAAATTTCGCAGGTCAAAATTTTGGCATAGCCAGATGCGTCTGACGCTTTACTTCCACCCAAAAAACCCGGGATCGAATCCCCGGCCCACTTTTTTTTTTTTTTTTTTTTTTTTTTTTTTTAAATTACAATTCCCTCCTTTTAAAACAATTTAATAATTTAATTACAACGAAATAAACTTTTCTATTTTCCTGGAAAAAAATTCTAACAAGAATTCCTCAAGCCATATAAGCAGTTTAAAAAAAGGCGACCTGAGGTCAATTATCCTAGAAAGTATTCCAACCCACGTTACGCATTACCCGCGAATCGTTCTCGCGGCAAATGACCTGGGTCAAAGTGGGTCACTCTGTACAGTAGAAAGACAGGACAACAACTGGTTCTCCGTTATTGGATTTATCCAAGCATATCCCGTAAGTATTGCCGGTTATCTCACGCTGACATCTCATCTACCCAGTCAAATTTATCGCCGCGAATTCTTCAATCCCTATTTACTTCCGAGCTCCCGGAATTATTTCGAGCAAATACCTATTACACAATTCTAAATTCGAAATAAAAAAAATTATTTTCAATAAATTTGAACCTAACCCATCCCCGCTTTTTTGATCTCACGTTGGGCGCCATAGGGCACACTTAGATCTCCAACAGAGAACAAAGGACACGATCTTTATTGTCATGCTTGTGGACAATGAGGATTATTATGAACTAGGCTGTGGCTCTAGCTATTACTATTACTGTTATTGTTATTGCGGGATAATAACATACAAGGTAAAGTTGGTTGATAAGTGGAGGCTGCAATGGAGTAAACGTCTTGAAAGAGGATGGGCCGTGCGTGGGAACGCACTGCTATAGTATTTATGTACCATATACATTTATATACATATGTATGCATGTACATGGTAGATTAGTGTGTAGAATAGGATAATCATAATGTAAATGCTAAGTATCGTTACGGACCAGGCTGCACCTTCGCTTTGTACCAGCTACAAAGACATATTGCGAGAGCTGGATGTAGGTAAACGTGTCATAAATATATGGTTGGCTTTTTTGTTAGCTGTGATCGATCACTTTTTTGCTTTTTTTGTCTTTGTAATTGACCTTTCAAGATTTTAAGTCTACGTGGGTTTTTTTTTTAATTAAGAATTACGAATTAAGGTTCTGAAGTAATCGCGGTTGAGACAGTAATAACAGTTTTTTTTACGGCTTTAATGTTTTAAGATCTTCGGAGTGTAATGAACTATCATATTTTAATTCATAAATAATATTTAAGTTACTTAATATTTACTAAGTTATAAGTTAAAGAAAAAAAATAGTATTTTTAAGATCAATTTTTTTTTGTCAATTATTATTGTACTAATTCTGTTAAGAAAATTTGTCTAGGCTCAGAAGTTACTGTTGATGCTACGTTATGCTGGGAACTGACAAAAATTAAAATAAAAAAATTTTTTTGGACGAAAAATGCCATTAAAAACACTATTTTCTATGATTAATGTGGCTTTTTCGATAATTATGGTTCTAATTCTTCTAAAAGTGTATTTTTCAACTAAAAAGTTTTTTTTAAAGCAACTTTATACTGGAGAATGACAAAAATTAAAATAAAAAAATTTTTTTGGACGAAAAATGCCATTGAAAACACTATTTTTCATGATTAATGTATCTTTTTCGATAATTATAGTTCTGATTCTTCTGAAAATTAATTTTTCAGCTCCAAAGTTACTTTCAAAGCTACTTTATGCTAGACAAAATCAAAACAAAAATAAAAAATTTTTTTGAACGAAAAATGCTATAAAAAACACTATTTTTCATGATTAATGTGTCTTTTTCGATAATTATGGTTCTAATTCTTCTAAAAGTAGATTTTTCAACTAAAAAGTTACTCTTAAAGCAACTCTATGCTGGAGAATGACAAAAATTAAAATAAAAAAATTTTTTTGAACGAAAAATGCCATTGAAAACACTATTTTTCATGATTAATGTATGTTTTTTTAGTAATTATGGTTCTAATTCTTCTAAAAATTTATTTTTCAGCTCAAAAGTTACTTTCAAAGCTACTCAATGCTAGACAAAAACAAAATTAAGAAAAAAAAATTTTTTTATACGAAAAATGCCATTAAAAACACTACTTTTTATGATTAATGTATGTTTTTTTAGTAATTATTGTTCTAATTTTTCTAAAAAATTCTTTTTTAGCTCAAAAGTTACGTTCAAAGCTACTTTATGCTAGACAAAAACAAAATTAAAATAAAAAAATTTTTTTGAACGAAAAATGCTATTAAAAACACTATTTTTCATGATTAACGTATATTTTTCAATAATTATGGTTCTAATTCTTCTAAAAATGTTTTTTTCAGCTCAAAAGTTACTTTAAAAGCTACTCTATGTTCAACAATGATCAAATTAAAAAAAAAAATAATTTTTTTGAACGAAAAATACCATTAAAAACACTATTTTTGATGATTAATGTATCATTTTCAATAATTATGGTTCTAAATCTTTTAAAAATTTTTTTTTTTCAGCCTAAAAGTATCTTTTAATACTCCTCTATACAGTCCAAAAACAATTTTCGAAAAAATAAATTTTTTTCACCCAAAAAAACACTATTCTTTATTTCCATTTTAATTTCCCACTAAATTAACTTTTAATTAATTAAAAAATTGACTTTTTCCCCCAAGAGCTACCATAATCATTATTATAGCATACAAACTAAACAATCTGCGAAAAAAAAAAAAAATATCTCCACTATCAGCCACACAAATTAATTCCTATAAATCGAATACTAACTCGGAAGCTAAACTTCTGCGAACGTTCCATAAATCA